CATGAATACTATCAGTTGCCATTGTTTTGTTCTTCACTGCATAGTGATATCGAGATTTAATAGATGCACTAATCATGCATGCGACGTTTTGCCACACTCAACATAGCATGAAAAATTAATGTTTGTGTATAAAAAGAGTTAGTGATTACAGGAAAACGGAATGTCATGGGTCAGTGAACTTCGCCTCTATCTCGGCTCACTGGAAGATGTTTTATATTTTGTTGCATTATTTTCAGTTTGAGTTCAATAATCGCTGGAGGCGATTACATAGAGGGCCTCTTTTACGTCACCTAGGTTATCACATTGTTTATTGTTGCATCTCAAAATGCAATAGAACAATATTGCAAGGTGATGACGTCTTTACTCCCCATAAAGTACGGTATTCTCAGACAGGTTCGTAAATTATTATTTCTGCAAGTGATTTCCTATATCTTGCGCGAAAGAGTCTCCCTTTATGTGTTGTAGACCAAGGCCACTCAGCCTGCAGTGAGGTATCTATCGAGCCTTACTTTTTTCAGCATAAATTATTTTAATACATTTAAGTAAAAAAATGAAATAAAATCATCAAAAAAATGCTAATAATGAAGTACAAGTAGTAATCGTCTTAATAATGATCATTTTTTTTATAAGAAGAAAATAGCATAAGAAATGAAAAATATAAAAGAGTGGTAATAAGAAAACAGAACATATGTTATAAAGCTATAAAAACCTCAATAAAAGTAAGTGGATAATTTATTTAACGCGTCCGTAAATGTTGTCTTTAAAGAGAATAATTAGACAAAACTTCGAAGAGAATGAAAACCTTTTTTTATTCATTTATTTTCTTTCGTTTTTTACTTTCTTGAATCCTCTTTAGACCCATCAGAATAATATACTTACATTGCCCTAAATCTGGTATTTTGTTATTGACGTCATTACGTGTAGGGGGATGCTACCCCCCATAGATTTTCTTAAATGACTCCCCCCAGCCCTGCTTGTAACATTGAAACATGCCCATTAAGCCCCTCAGGGGCAATGTCAAAACCCTCGTTTACCAATCCTGTGACTAATGTAAAATATTAATGAAAAAAATTATGTTTATCTTTGCCTATTCAACAGTTAATCCGAATCAACGTAGGGGGTGAACTTCATTTGCCTTATTTTAGTTAGGTATATGAACGTAAGACGCAATGACTGAGGAGCTTTTTTTTCAAGAGCTCCCCTCGAAAGACGTTTTGAATTCGAGAAGTCTTAGATATATTGACCTTGTACAATAAGGTTCTTCTGCCATAACCTATGTCAACATGTTTGCGAGAGAAGAGCCTCTAACAATGCCGTTTCTGTTTAACCGCCTTGCCCTGCTTTCCATGTTCCGCCAGGCAAGTCTATATCGAAGGAATTATTTTTGTTGAATTGCACTGAATGTTTAGACTGAGGTTGAGGCATTATCACCAGATCCGGTCCACTCCCCAGTAGATGCCGAACTGCCAGAAACGCACGAGGAACTCGGGGGGCTGGGCGTACTTGACACAAAATCTGACACGCCGTCGTCAAGCTGGCAGGGATACATGATCCACACGACTTCGGACGAAGGAAGTCCAAAGTCTTTCCTGGTTTTCTTGTCCTGCCTTGTATGACTGCTGTTATTTGTTGTATTAGATGTGCGCTTATTTCCTTTATCGGCATCTTTACAGTCCGTAACTGTTTTTACAATAAAGTGAAGTCGAGGTTCGTCGCTATAAGCTACTTTCACAGCACTCACTTTTCCGTGTTCATCTATCGACAAGTACCATCCTTTACCATCGGTGTCTGAATGACATGTGCGGAAAATGTTGTAAAAGTTCTTACCAAAAAACTCACGGAATACACATTCTTTCCTTTCAGCGTCCTTGGGATGTAAAACAAACAATATGTTAAGGCGAGTTTTCACTACGAAATCGTAAGTTGAGTCGCGCGAGTGCATATGACCTTGTGAAAACAGTCAAAAATCGAAATAAGCAGAGTCATAAGCGCAACGGAAGCGGAGTCGGACGAATCGGAACGTTTCCATTTTCTTCTGACTCCACTTCTAACTCCGTCGTTTACGATCCAGTGAAACCAGATTGTCGGAGTCGAAAGCAGAAGAGGAAGGATAAACCAATCACAATGCACGTTCCCGGCGTACGCATTGTGAGTGGCTTACTTCTTCCGCTTCTGCTTACGACTCCGACAACCTAGGTTTCACTTGATCATAAACGCTTGAGTCGTTAGCGGAATCAGAACGCTGTTTTCACTAGTTCATAAAATTCTACGCTTGTGATTACAACTAAGACTCCGACTCCGTCGCTAGTGAAAACTAGTCTTTAAATAGAGGATATTACATGGCCGCGCGGAGATACCAAATTTCTCGTCGAGTGTTTCAACCCGAGAAGAGAAATTTCGTATCTCCAAGCGGCCATGTAATGTTCTATTTTTTGTATAAACGCCAATGAACTACCAAACCATTTCACTTTAATAGTTTTTTGGTGTGAAAGGCGCGATCTAGTATGTAGCCATAGCAACGGTGATATTTTCACATGTGAAGATAATATATTATTTTCACACGTGAAGATATCAAGTTTTCGCGCGAAAGCTCACCTGGTATTTCATTGGTGTTTGTATGATAAATCTTGTTCTAACTCAGTACCCGCTTAAAATAGCTGCTGCTTCTTTCGGGTTGATACTTTTCCTCTTCTAACTCAAGCTATAATAAAGTTATTCATGCTTCAAAGATAACCTATCAAAGTCGAAGAAGGAAATAATTTGTCCTGTACTCAGGACAGAGATGGGAAAATATACAAACTGAAAAGGCGAGGGATAATATCCCATTTTACAGATACATGAGAAATCGAGGATGGAGTTGACCTTTTTTGATGCAACCCCTCCTGCTTTATTATGTAAATCATGTTGTTCTTATAATAACTAGTATTTTTCCTGCAACATTTCCATAAGAAGAGGAAAGAGACTTGTATGAAAACAACGTCAACCTTACCCTCATGTCCAGTCAAAGGCTAGGGTGCTAAGCCCACAACTGTAAAATGATTTATTCGATTCTATTAAAATATAAACTCAACAATCTTACCGTAGTAAATATTTTTCCTTCGCTGTCTACTGCTAAGTATTTTTTGGCCTCAAGTCCCCAGATTGCAATGAGATCTGGGCCAACAGAAAGAAACTGTAAGACGGCTGAAATGTAAAAATGGGTATCAAAGTAAGCTATTTTGTTTTCGCAAACACCATTTGCGTAGTTAAATAAACGGCAAAAAATATGGTTACATTCCTTTTTTTTGTATCTGAGAGGATATATATCTCTAACCTAAACAAGGGCAAAGTAGATCCCCCAAGTAAACAACAACATCAACCGAAAGCCACATAACGTGTGAAATAAATTTGCAAATCTTTATTACTGAATTCGTAAGGGTCTCACCCATGTCTGATTGCAAGAGTCAAGATTTTGGGCTTTTATACAAAGTTAAGTTGGCTCTAAATTTACATGCTCTTACCTTTATCATACGGTATTTTTCGCAAGCTCGTATAATTATTGTTAAAGACGTTAAATCGGAGATCATCTTTAGCTTTGTTGAAACTCTGAGAGGTTGAACACTCTGGAGATTGAAAAACGCCTGCCTAATTTGTTTTGATTTTTTGCTGGTGTCGCCAAAGCCGAGAAACTGAAGACTATATGGGCAGTTGAAATATTAAAATCATACACCTTTGTTCGTTTTGGAAATATTTTAATCGGTACCGACTGTGGTTGTAGATGTGGTAACGTGCCAAAAAAAGCAACAACACGACTAGGCTTAATCAACGTTTTAAAAAGAAAGTGCAATATTTGTTACCAAAAATATCTCAGAAACACTATAAACAATATCGAGCGTAATTATGCAAGTCCCAAATTTCCTGTTTTCTTACCGTATAAACAACTGCCGTCGCTTGTTCCCGTGACCTCTCCTGTCGAATTTATAGCAAGGTAAAATCCATTTTTTGCGAATAATTGTCGCTTCCTTGTGTACTTTTGAAGAGAAGGGAACGCGAGTGATGATTTAGACCCCGCCATGCTAGATGTATTACGGATCAGCCGCCATTATGACCTTCGGCGAAGATTCGGAAAGGAATCCATCATAAACCAAAAGATAAAATAACGATAATTTGATGCATCCCAATTGCTTCTCCTTCAGCAGCTAGCCAATGAAACTTCAAAGGAGCTGGTTATCTTCTACGGAAGGGAAACTTTAATTGTTAATGCGTGATGAGGTAAACCGCTTTTGTTTGAATCGTAGCAGGACTGTCAACGTTAAAACTCTTTAACTAATATTGGGAAAGGACACCTGCTCAATATACACGGTTACTACGTAACTCAGCCAAATTTAAATAATTTACTTGTATGAGTACTGTAGAGGAACCTTTTAAATGAATATTAAAAATCGCAGTGTTCAGATGAATAATTCGAAAAGGTGCGAGTTTATTTTTCATTATAATCGTTTTTTGGCTGTTTGCCGTTTGTCTCTTGAGGCTTGCAGACGAATAACTGTTTTGCACGTCAACAGTAAGGGGTGTATATATTCGTCGAGGTGTAGTATACATTTTAAACAAAATAAAGATTGTATCAAATAAAAAAGGAAGAATTTTCATCCAACGATACCTCTTAAAATCGAGCATTAGGGTAACATTATATAAGCGAAGTGGAAGTGAAAAATATAGAAATAAATCTTTGACAAAGAATTGAATGATCAGCATCAATTTGTATTCTAAAATTTCCGGTTAACAACGTTTCTCCTGACTACTTATTAATTTTTGTTTGCTTGTTTGTTTTGTTTTGTTTTAACTTTAGTGATCGAAGCTTCATGAATCGCAATTTTCTATAAACTATACATTCCGCTAATATATACTTAATTACAAATTTTTGGATTTGTATCACACTTCCTATTCATTTAGTTGTTTAACTTTGACAAGACCAATAAAAATCTTCGCCGTCTTGTCTCTTTGCAAAAGCGAGTTATCAGAAGTATTTCTAAATCAACTTTCGATTCTCATTCAGACCCTATTTTCAAAGAATTAGGGCTACTAAAACTTTCCGATATTACACAACTAGAATTGGGTAATCTTATGTTTTCTCTTAACCATTCTCTTCTGCCTTAAGTTCAACAATTATTTTTCTTTAAACAAACAAGTCCATAGCTATGCCACTAGACACGCAAACGATTTTCACCCTCCTTTTTGTAGAACAAACCTTCGTAAATTTTCTGTCAGTTTCCAAGGACCTACTTATTATAACGCATGGTTGACGGTAAACATTTCTCCAGAAGCACAGTAACTAGGGAGATTAGGCAGAGGGAGGTTGTAGCGAAGGCAAAGGGTCAGGGATTTGAGGACGAACAAGTTTCGGTCAGGCACAAGAAGCTAACCTTATTGCAAGTCGGTGCTCGACCGAGGGAACAGGGAACAGAGGACGTGGCGAACCTCATCTAGTCCTCTATTGGTAAGCAGTGTCCTGTCAATCCGGGACTTTGCAGCGGCTCTCCTTTTAGCATTGATTTCACGCTTCCTTTCCTCCATCGGCTCTCGTGCTGGAAGGGTGGAGCTTTGAGTAACAATAGAATTGACGTGTGGTGCTGTTATATCAAGCGAGGCATTGAACTGCTCTAAACTTTCGCGCTTAAGATGGGGAATCCCAATCCCGCACTGCGCAGTTGATAGACTGACAAGTTCCTTAAGTTCTTCATGAAGAGGCTCCGCTCGTCCGAATAATGAAGGAAGAAAGGAAGTGTGAATCACTTCTTCGATGGGGTCCACATACTCTTCAAACGATTCGATGGTGCGCAAGTAATAAGTGAATTTGAATTTAAATCCTTTAGTGAAAGCGACATAGGCAGCATAGGGCTGGCTCTTGATGATCTCCGTGAGGGACTCCATTTCTCTGAGCCACTTATCAACTTTCTCTCGACAATATTGATCCTTAAACTCTTTTGATCCGATGAACAAAAATACCTATAATAAGGATAATAATTGTGATGATGACTTCAGAATAATAATTTAAACATTTAAATATACATTACCTGAATGAAATTTTAACATTTTGCAGTTCAGACTTTCCAGAATATGCCTTCGTAATCTACAATGTCGAGCAAAGATTACATTAGATTAAAAATGACTAGAAAGAGCGAGTTCCCTTCTGTATTTACGAACGAAAGATCCCAAATAGTGAGCAGAACTAGGATTCCGTTGGCAACTTCGAACGATATTTTCTCGTCGCTTCATTTAGACAGCCGTAGAGCTTCCTCGTCACCCGCGTTGCCAGAAGCAATAAAATTTGTTGCGAGACAAGAAAGCTTTTACATAAGAAAAGAGTTCAACTCGCATAGGACTAGGTTAGAACACCAACATGGCCGCGGTTGTATTGTTTTGGGACACCAACATGGCGGACGTGAGTTCATCTGAAAAGGCTCTATACATTCAATGCGTGATTATGGGAAAACGGTGCCTGATTAGGCGGGAGTGAAAGCAAAACGGTGGGAGCTTAACCTGGATAAGTAGTAGCAAGATCCTAACATCTCGGCGGCCAAAATCTCGCAGAGATCCTAACATCGAATGTGCTACCCTGCTTCCATTCATTTACCGAAACACAATTAGTTGAGTTGTCTTAACCCAAGAACTTGCAGCGGCCTATTATGCTAGTCATAATTATATTATTATTTGTTTCTCTATTTATTTGTTTATTTTTGTCTTTTGTTAATGGTGTATATTTATGGTAATCGCCTATGTGGGGAAATTATTTTTTCTTAAAGAACTTTTAAAGCTCTATCTCGCAGGGGGCTTTTACAGTTTTAAAGCGGTGAAGGTGGCAATAGTTCGTTTCTTTCGTCAAAGCGATTCTTTTCTGGGGCAAAACGTTCGATACATGTGCTACGAGGCACATGTTTGATGTAGAATAAAATACCCAATACAATTTATTGGAATTACCAGCTCTTACACTGACCACTTAAAACTGCACTGAAAATTGAGCAACGTAACGAAAAAAAAAAATAACGCCTTCCAAAGTAAAATGTGGTGTTCCAGTTTGGTAAAATTCAGAGGAAATACTGAGAACCACCTCAAAAATGGCTGCCTTTTCCGTTTAAAATGGAAACGTGTCTTAAAGAACATTTTTTTTACGTTGCAAATTTTGAAGTTACCTTGGAAATGAGTGTAAAATTGGCTGGAAGTGAAACTTATAGTTTTCACGGAAATAACACAGGAGAGGGTTCAGAATTTCTGATCCCTCAAACAACACTGGAGTTTCAGAATTTCTGATCCCCCACACACCACAGGAGAGGATACAGAATTTTTGATCCCCCAAACAACACAGGAGATCCAGAATTTCTGATCCCCCACACACCACGGGAGAGGATACAGAATTTCTGATCCCCCAAACAACACAGGAGATCCAGAATTTCTGATCCCCCACACACCACGGGAGAGGATACAGAATTTCTGATCCCCCAAACAACACAGGAGATCCAGAATTTCTGATCCCCCACACACCACGGGAGAGGATACAGAATTTCTGATCCCCCAAACAACACAGGAGATCCAGAATTTCTGATCCCCCACACACCACGGGAGAGGATACAGAATTTCTGATCCCCCAAACAACACAGGAGATCCAGAATTTCTGATCCCCCACACACCACGGGAGAGGATACAGAATTTCTGATCCCCCAAACAACACAGGAGATCCAGAATTTCTGATCCCCCACACACCACGGGAGAGGATACAGAATTTCTGATCCCCAAACAACACAGGAGATTCAGAATTTCTGATCCCCCAAACAATACATATATCTTACTGGAGGGTTTAGGGTGTAGTATCGTGAGATATTTGTACGAGTCACGCTGTATTTTGGCGAGCCCGCGAGTCCAAATACAAGAGACGAGTAGGAATAGGACTCAGTAAATGTGCAGGCTTGCCTACTTGTAACGAGAATGCGTGACAGACAAACGTGGGTCGAGTTTTTGTGCGCTTTCATCAGTCAGTGCTGTTGCTGATTGGTCAGAAATGAAAACTTGTCAAACTAGTTTACTCAGTAAAGCAATTTTTTTCAAGTTTTCGTAGGCACTCCGAAGTTCTATCTATCCAACATTTGCTAGGAAAACAGAGATGGAATAACAAAAAGTAGTGAGGCTTGAGGTGGGCTTTCGGTTACGTAAAACGTACTGCAAGTAAGAAAACTGAACAGACAAAATTGCGATGGAAAGTCGAAAACCCTCCTACAAATTCAAGGAGTTTCAAAGAGCTATTCGAAAAGAAGGGACTTAAAATCTCATCTTTGCCGTGCGGGGTTATACTAACAAAAAGAGAACGTCTTAGGTCCACCATGTCGAGTTTCCTCACGTATTAAAAGAACTACAGGACAGGACTGTTCAGTTCCTCGGCGGAGATTGTATTTAACGGACGATTTTTCTTACACGGGTTTTCTCATCGCACACAGGTCTGTTTTCATGTTCTCTGTTGTGTCTTGAACTTATAAAGTTTGCATGTTCTATCTTGTTTTAAAGAATGTCGACATTTCATTGTTGTTCAGGAGACTTTACTCTAGGAGCTTGGTTGTATTTAAGGTCACAATCTAGCTCCTATTCCTTTTTTTCCTTCGGAAAACCATCCATTTTCTGCCATGTGCGACGTTTGCAGATTAAACTGGTCTTCCGGAATACAAATACCGTGAAATATTTGTACTCGTTTTTAGCGTTATTTGTACTTGACTGAGTGAAGTTGAATAGTAAAGGAAGGTATTAAATATTTCTGAACCCCTAAGAATATAGTCGTGGAATCAGAATTTCTGATAACCCAAACAACCTTAGAGAAACGTCATATTTTTCTCTCTGGTCTCAAAGCAGTGAAATGTCTCAAAATCTAAGGTTGAAGTCAATACATGATTCTGGAGCAATGTAAGGACTGATTGATTGAGAATCAACGTAGGTTAAAAAATTTTAACCTGAAATTAAATATGCACGTATACACATAATATGCACCAGCTGACCTCAACATTACAGTAGCTGTAACTTTAATGAACACTGTACTGAAGAGGTCAAGAAAGTTCGGAATTGCCCAGAACCATAAGATTACTCAAACTACACAGCCGACCTTAGCATCACTGCAGACTCTTAAATATACACTGTAGTTCTCTGATTTATCGGTAACCAACGAAGACTGTAGAGAAAGTAACAAAATATTAAATTAGGGAGAGTCATCTCTTGTGTTTTTTTGTTTTCTCAGTTGACTTTTAATTTTATTGACACTCTAATACATGAACAAGTGAACGTGGGAAGGCACGTATTTTCTTTTATTTTGTCTCTAAAACCAGCAAAATCTGCCAGAACTTGATGGGTATAGCATTCCCCCATCCCCTTCCCCGTGTACGCACCCGAAGGTCAAACATTTCACTAACCGCAAGAGTCCAGTTATAACAATGATGTTTATTACTTTAGCTGTTTCTAACATTTTTTCCAAAATTATGACTTCTGCAGACTAGAACCGGGATAGTTCCTTACAGAGATAAGGATTGCTAAATTTTGCCTCTTAAATTACTTTATTCACTGCTGATGGTTATCATACAGTCAAAACACCTGCGGAAAAAAAAAAGGAAAGAGATTTGAAAATTGTCAAAAATTGTGTCTAACGAATGCTGTGAAGGTCAGTTTCGCAAATTAAAATCATCTCGACAATAAATCAGGAAATGAGTTAAAAATACTTTAACCACAAAGAAGAGTTCGTCTTAAAGCAACATCGTAACTAAGGTCAACAAACCGACCACAAGGCAGAGCCCCTTCCCCCGAAAACAAGGATGGCAGAATAGGGCGTGTTAGTTTTCGTGCGGCTTTGCGCATTTTTTATTTTTTATGTGGCTCATTTTTTTTTCTTATGCCGCAGCGGCCATATTCGTGTTCCAAAACAATGAAACGGCGGCCATTTTATTTACCAATCTGTCGTTCGTTTACTTTTATCACCAACAAAATTCGGAGCTGATTTCCAAGAGGGTGTTAAAATCTCTGTAGCTTCGCAGAAGCCTTTGTGGCAACAATCCTTGAAGAAATTCAAAGCTATGGTAACTAAACAGATTATCTTTTGTCTTTCTATTATATGGAATTGATTTCCTTTGTTCTCTATGAATTAAGGTGTTTCGATACAGTTTTTCGGAGACCATACCGATGTTTTTCAATCACCTTAAGAGTGACTTTGTCCTTGTCCGATCGTACAAAATTTCCCCAGTGATTGACTATGAATTGAAGTTTGTCAAAATGCAGTTTTTAAGAAAAATCGATATCATTATGACAACAATAAACAAAAAACTGTGAGATAGATAAAATCTGAATTTTGCGCGATCTAGACCTACTACTGAAAATCTGACACCGGGAACGTATAGTGTGGTGTTTAGCAAATAACCTCCGCGAGAAGTAAAAAATTCTGTATGTTTGAATTCAATGAAACGTGAATGTATTTCAAACCTTAAATTTTCAATAGCCGTGATAAACTGTTTCATAAAAAAGTTTCAGGTAACTCAAATTAACCTTAAATAGCGACAAAAAACTGCTCAACGTCATATTTCGATGCGAGGAAATTTTGGTGTATTTAACTAACCTGTTTTCTCACCACCTGTCTAAGTGCAACTTTACTCTAAATTTTGACTTTTGGCGCTTTTCTGAATATCTCTAAAACGGCTCAACAGAATTAAAACTTAAAACTTAAAATTAAAATTTAAAACTCATCGCATAATCTTCATGATGTATATAATAATGTCCGAAACTTTCATTAAGATTGATTTACTGTGTAACACGTTGAAATTTCAAGAGAAGCCTAGCCTACGAAAAGGCCAAAAATCGGCGTTACAACATTCACTGTTTTGACGTTATGCTAATTTTTCCAAGTTAATGCCCACCATACATACCTCCATGACTAGTATATTTCAATGTGAATATTGTCAATGTTTCACGTTCAAAATATGCAATAAAATTCATGCTAAAGTATACTAGCCACGGAAGTCTGTATGATGGGCATCAATTTGGAAAAACTAGCATAACGTCAAAACAGTGAATGCATGTTGTAACGCGGATTTTTGGCCTCTTGGTAGGCTAGGTTTCTCTTGAAATTTCAAGGTGTTGCAGTGAATCAATCTTAATGAAAGTTTCAAATATTGTTATATACATCATGAAGATTATGTGATGAGGTTTAAAAAGAATTCTGTTGAGCTGTTTTAGAGATCAGACAGAAAAGCGTTTTAAAAAGGCCAAATTTATGATAAAGTTGCACTTAAGGTTGATGTCCACTGACGCGTTTTTGGCTACGCACGTTAACGCACGTAAATAAAATAGAGGCAAGATAAAAAGTGCTGAAGTTAAACTAGAAGTTTAAAATTAGCGAGGTTCAAATTTTACGCTTACGAGCGAACTTTCATGCATTGCCTCCATTTTATTCGCGAACGTAAATTTTACGCACGTACACACGTAAAAATTACTCAACACTGGAAATCAACCCTTAGACAGGTGGTGAGAAAACAGGTTAGTTTTCAGGATCGCAAGAAAGAAAATAAACCAAAATTTTCTAGCACCGAAAAATGATATTAAGCAGCCTTCTGACGCTACTTAAGATTACTGTGAGTTACTAAGATTTTTTTTTTTTATTAAACATTTTATCGCGGCTATTAAAAATATAAGGTTTGAAATATATTATCATTTTATTTGAATTCAAACATACAGAATTTTTTACTTCTCACGGAGGTTATTTGCTAAACACCACACTGTAAGTTTCTGGTTTGGGATTTTAAGTAGCAGGTCTAGATGGCGCAAAATTCGGATTTTATCGATTTCAAAGTTTTTTGTTTATTGTCATAGCGATATCGATTTTACTAAAAGCTGCATTTTGACAAACTTCAATTCATAGTCGCGATCGGACAAGGATAAAATCACTTTTAAGGTGATTGAAAAACATCGGAATGGTCTCCTAAATACTGTATTGAAACACCTTATTTGCTCTTCAACAAAGTGAAAACCGAGCACGAGAAGAGAACTAAGAGGTCCGAATATGTTTAATAATTGGCAAAATTATGTATCAATCATTTCTTACCTTAGTTAACATTATGGAGTAGCCTCAAGCAGTTCCTCACGGAAAGCCAAATCGGCTGTAAACGCACTTGAACGGAAACACGGACAATGATCTCTTGTTTCCATATCCAAAGGGTACCACCACCTTGTTATAGAAGGACACTTTGTACCCGATGTGTCTGGTCAAAAATGAAAGATAAAAATTCAGAGCTCCATCGTAGTCGACAGTAATCCGAGTTGAAAGTAACAACTGTATTCCTCACTCAACTCGACTTATTTTTACTAGAGAAAAAGCGCCATTTTGTCACCTGCACGTTATATCAAAGAAACTAAACGTTTAGAAAAATATAGACTTGGATTTCTGATAGACCAAAACCTCTGGATCGAAGCTTCAGAGTGACTTTTGTATACTTGTTTGTTTTTTGAACTGTCATGTCCATGTCAACCGTCATGTCCATCTATCGTACCATCAGTCCGTTTCCTTTACTTAGAAATAGTCTCGAATGAAATTTGTCGTTCACGGTAAATCGTTAGCTTAACCAACCGGGCTTACCAAGATTTTCAGATGATACTTTCGACTAAGAGTGATGCATTTCGACAAACTTTAAATGTGATTTTTAAGTGTGGCTACTGTGTTTAGATTTTAAAACAATAATTTCTCACGTAAATTACCCATTTACAAGTTGTAATAAATAGAACCCAGGCTCACCAACAACTCCAGGTAAACCAAGCTTACGTGCGAGGCCTGGGAAGACCAGGCTAACAAGGCATTACTGGTTGAGATCAGGCTCAACAGACTTTTGAGAAACAGTTCGACCATCCTTACCTCAAAAGCCTAGCAAAAACAGGTTCAATCAGGGTTAACCTGGCCTAGCGGGCTTCTAACAGGACTTTTGGAGCATTTAAAAGGTCCAGAATATATCTAACAAAATAAGTTTGTTTTTGATACATGATAGTGGAGCTTTTATAATAACACTCTTCTCGGTCACATAATTCACACCACAGCTGGGATCGTTAAGATGGATCAGACTGGCACCTGCCTCCAAAGGCAAACTGTCACGTGCTATGTGAGCCACCATGTAAGAGGGGAAGCATGAAACAGTAAAGGCAAACCTGGGTCCTACGAGTAAAAGAGTAATAACAATAAAAAAATCATCAATACCTAACTAAAGGTACTGTTTATCTCTAAACATATGTAACCGGTTTTTTGAGAACCAACGTAACGAAATTTGCAGTCATTTGAGTGAAAAGGCGTCAAAAGGCAGGTTTCTTAAGCCGGAGAAGCTCCAAAATCACGTGCAGTAACGAACGAAAAGGAAAAGAGAAAAAGAAAGAGCGAGGAGAAGGAAGTTTAATTTTAAGCTTAAGTTTAATTATACTTTTTAAAGCAATAGGGGAAAACTGAATAACCATATAAAAACTGCTCTCCAAAAACATAATAAGATAAAACAATAAACAATAGAATATCTAATATGTAACTATACATTATATAAAAAAGACTAATTAAACTACTTGGATATGAATTAATAATAAAAAAGAACATCCAAAATCAGTAAGAAATAATAAATTACGGCTCTTTACAAAGATAATTAAGTAATAAAATTTCAAAAGAGTCCAAGCTGGAAGCAGACATAACGGAGTTTGGTAAAGAATTCCAGGCATTAACGTAACGATTAAAAAATGACAATTTTATTAAAATAGTTTGTCCTTGCTGCTCTAGGCCTGATTTTAAAGTCATGGTTACTCCTTGTTCTTGTCGGGCCAGTCAGATCCACCACGTATGTGGTATAGTCAATATCAGAATAGCCATGAATTATTTTGAACCAAGCAAAGGTATTTCCTTCTAAGCTCCAATGTTGACCAGGACAATAAGGAAAGGAGGAGAAGAGATAAAAGCAATGGTTGCACTCTTAGTTTTTTTTATAATGGCTACTTTGGAGATTGTTGGACGCAAAAGGTCCATTTGACGGTAACGTTATCAAAAATCCGGCTAGTTAATACGTTTAGGAATAAAATGCTATAATAATTTTTTTTGTTGACGTTGTTGTTTCACGGGGCTCGAACCTACTTATATAAGTGTTGGTTATGCTTTTGAATTGCGTTTTTTAGCAGGAACGATTTAACTGATTTGTATGATTTTTGGCACCCCTACTAAACAATGGTCGAACTTAAAGGTAGCTCAGTACAATAATTTTGTAGCGACACCTTCCGTCTTTAAATCTCTTCTACTTAAACAAATAAATTAAAAATTAACATAACTTAATTATGATATTATTTTTTGGGTGATCGGAATAAAGATCACGTGGCAATGACGTCACAATAGTTTTAGCTTTAAAAATCGAATTTTAGCTCTTATCGACCTGAACTTTGGAAATGCTTTACGCTGCGCAATTTTGCTTTGGGTGCTTTTCTTCCGTTGTGCGAAGTTTCACAGAAATCTGTGAGAGGAATTTCGAGATATCTTGAAAGTTCTAAAAAAGGTATAAATTATCCGTGAACTGAAGACTGCACTTTAGGCAAACAAATTTGCTACTTTTTGGATGTTTCCTGAAAGGTTTTATCGCTCATTCGTCTTGCAAATGACCCTTATACACTCTCGGAATCTTTGAATTAATAAAATACGTTCATTAAATACGTATTATTCTTAGTTTAAGCTTCATAGGGATCCTTATGGTGACGTTTTCGAGGTATTTTAGCTGCCTTCGTTTCAAATCCCTAACATGACAAAAGTGGCACACTCTCTGAAACTGTCAGCATTATTCTCATTTCCTCTTGACGGGTAATTTTTATTAATTTACTTACTTGTTGGTGTAGGCCGAGGGGTAGGCATTGCTGAAACAATTTAAGAAAGTAGAACGGAATTAGTTTTTTTTTATTAATACAGTAAACTTATTGTAATAAGCCCAAACGTGTTTGTATAGGTTTTTTTGTGGGGGGAGGGAGAAGCTACGCTAAAGGTCCTTTTTGTCAGCGCATCGGAGGGTTTCATTTGCACTTTTTTGGGTGTCATTGTAAAGGTAAGGTCCTGTAACTCGAGCCCTAACTCTTAAATCCATACATAATTTCATTAATTCGTCCCCTCGCCTGCACCTGCAAATTAAACCCAGCGTTATTATTAAGTGGCAGGCAGGGAGTCTCTTGGCAACATCGATTAATATCTAAGGTATTGCCTGGGTATGCAGCGTTGTCTTTGGTCTGTTGTAAGCTGTTGTTGCTCGCTTACTTGTAGGTGCCTTACGACCATGAAAAAGTAGAAACAAATTCCAAATTCTATTTCTAGAAATAGAGACTTTCTGCTTACCTGTATTACAAAATTTTCCAGTGTATCCATATGAACAAACACAGGTGAAGCTATTTATTCCATCTTCACAGGTACCGCCGTTGTTGCAAGTAACGCTGATACAATCATCGATGTCTGAAAGCAGACCACACACAAAACGTTAGCGCGGCTAAAGAAACTTGTTTGAGTGAGAGTCACTCTTGTCAATGACGTGAAAGCGCGGTATCATCTGGGCGCAAAACAATCTTAAAGATGATCAACTTGCATTTAATAATGAACAGAAAGCGGATGACCTTTTACATCTACTATTGTTCCGATTGACTTTTTTCGAATCTCCATAAAACAAACGATTTCCCGCCCCCTTTTTCTCACCAAGGAGTATTTGAAAACAACAATACCGAACGTTGTCAGCGTTACAGACTCATATAAAATCTCACTGAGCAGCCGATCGAACCAGTTGGAGTTTTGGGGGACATTGTTGTTAACTCTTCCATTTTTTGATTGGCCAGGTGACAGGTTAATAAATATCCCTGAAATGAAAATTAGCTTAACCAACTACTGCTACTGCTACCGCTGGTGCTGCTACTACTGCTGCTACTACTGTTACTGCTACAGCTACCGCTGTTAATGCCGATGCAGCCGTCGCCACCGCAGCTGCTAGCCGCTGCTGCTAACCGCTGCCTCTGCCACTACCACTACTATGATAATCCTTCAGGGTTTTGCTTTATTTTGCAAATAAAATTTAAAAATCACTGGGATAACGAAAATTAAATATCCATGAAGACACTTTATCACATTTACGTCATCGTGAAAATGGTCTATTAATCTCGCATTGCCGCGCGACCGTTCGATCACCTCTCATTGCTGTATTAGAAAAAAGTAAATTAATTCATTAAATTTTACAATTTATTTTGGCAAAGCAGTCAAAACTAAACATTTTACCAAAAAAAAAAACGATCTCAGCTTTTTATACGTGACAGAACGGTGGAATTATTGGATTCTTTGTAAAGTGATCGTTAAAGGGGCTAAAGTGTCAAAGAATTACCTTTTTCGCAATACATTCCAGTAAAACCTGATGGACAATTGCAAGTGTAGGTATCTACACCGTCCACGCAAGATCCACCGTTAGCACAGTTGTGGTTAACACAATCGTCGATGTCTGTAAATAATATATTCACCAGAAAATATAATCTAATGCAAATGGTCTCGCATTGCCGCGCGACCGCGTTAACTTCAGGGCACATTCCTGTGACTTTTGAGGGTAAGGCTAAGTGATTTTAGAGTGAAACAAATCTTGCATCGAGTTGATAGCCAAATTCAATGGAAAACAAACTCTTGGAAAACAAATCAGGTCGAATTTTTTGCGTTTGACAAGTTTACTTTACATTTTCTTGCCAACAAATCTGGGTGCGTGCAAACCAACCTTTTATATTTTTTTATACATCACGTCTGAGGAGAAAGAGTACTAGGAGGCGCTGTTTTTATCGTACAGACCTCGTACAAAATGTAGTATTTCACAATTTTTCAAGACAAATTGCATTCATTCAATATTCGGGACCATCGAGGCACGCGTTGACTTTTAGCGAAACCGTTAAAAAAATTTCCAAAATCACCTATACAGCCAGCCGGTTCTAACTTTTGATAAGCGCTAAATTTGCAAAGAAATTTAAAAGAGTTACGCTTCAACATGATAAAGAATTTATTGTGTTTATTTTTTTTATTAATGGCTTTATAACTAAAAAGCGTTTGATACGCTCGGCATTTTGAGTGCTCCAGCAAGCGATGTTCATGAACGACTGAAAACAAACAGCAAAGCGATGAAAATTGCACTTTTGAGACTACTAAAATCAATAAAGAAATATAATTGGGTAGAACATTTACATAGACAACAATTTTCATTCACAAAAACAAATAAGTGTTTAAGTGTCTCTAAGAATCCTGAGTCTTTAAGCTTAAAGATTAAGTTTATGTTTTAAGCCACCGGCTTCCCGGTGTTTGCTGTCTTCAAAGATGAACTCGCGACAAGAAAATCGCTCAAAGCTTTCTTTCTACAGCCAAAATTGTAACTATATATTCTTCGGAAAGTTTTTTCTTGCTATTTGCGGTGAATTGATATCGACTAAAGGCTTTTTAAAGTTCTGTACGCTTATATCAAACCTCATACTGGGTCAGATCAGTGTCTTAAATCTTAATACAAACGTTCATAAACTAGCTTCATAAACTGCGCTCGACTTCATAAAATTAAATATAAATACAACAATTACTCAGGCTTACCATATTTCGAGACGTAGCTCCTGAGAGCTATCAAATAAGGCCAGGATCGCTTGAGCCTTTATAATTCTCTTACGCATCCAGCAAAGTTAAAAACAGAAACGATGCCATCCGAAATCGGATTTCCGACTTTGGCAAGCGGCGCATTTCTCTACCAAAAAATTCAATAAAGAAACCAGCAGCCATGAATAACAAAAGACTCTTGATAGCAGCTGTATTGCATTTTGTACATCCAGTGGAAAAAGACAGTTAAAAACATCACGAGTTGACAAAAAACTCCGCATGAACTCACCTGTCAAATTTTGACCAATCAGAGCATAAAAATTGGACGTGGAGCGTGACCAGCGCGTGACTATGGTGAGAAAAGTAAAAAGCATCTGTCTTCCCCGTCTGTATTTTTAAATAACTGGCTGAATTTTCGCTTCCGAGGTCAGTTTGAAATCAAAATGTTAATAGTGCTGGGCCATAGTGACATAAACACAAATGAATTTAAAAAAAAGGAGCTTGCGATCATTTGAAAACTAGTAACTTGTCAGCGGATAACTTCAAAAAATACTCGACCTGGATAAGTCGACGCCTGAGCCCGCGATACGGTAAGGTGATACTGGTCAGCGGATACCTTGTTTTGACAGCTGTCAATTGATAACAACATTGATGTGCACTCAGTTTTCTCA